CATCATCATCATCATCATCATCATCATCATCATCATCATCATCATCATCATCACCATCATCATCATCAACATCATTTGAAGATACATTTTTGTGTCATTTTTCTGTGTCTCTCATTCTACAAAGTGGACGTTGACACAGCTGTTGTCTGAAGTGACACAAATCACAATGTCTATCTCTCGGATCGCATGATCGGCTACATCATGATGTCGAGAAAAGGAGAAAGGGGGGGGGGTGGGCGGCTATGATTTAGTTGTTCTTTTCACCAGTCAAAAGAACTCTTTTTTGTCCATTGTACCAGAGGAAGTGGTATTATAGTCAGTCTCTTACTCTAAAACATCGCTTGAGTGGAGGATAGAAAACCCCCGTCTGTCTCCCTTGATGTTATATTCCAAAGGGCATGATCGGGGCAACCTGTATCTTAAATGATCGAAAGAGTTTGGAATGTGACATGAAATATTTACAATGACATTTTTTTTTCAAGAGCGACGGTTCTCTAAAGTGTTTGGAATTTCGTGCTTAGTTATCCCGTTCTTGTAAACTACCACCAATACTAACATTCCTGGCACAATAAGCACACTAAGCTAATTTTCACCTAATTCAAAACCTTTGAATGAGAATATTCGTCATTACTGTCTATACACTAAAGCTTTGTTTCGGATAATATACTTTTCCGCTACTCCCTAATAAAAAAAGTCATTTCCTATCAAAACTTTGTCTCACCTTTGGTATCGCCAATAATTCTCATCCATGTAAATCTGAAATCTATCCCAGTTTGGACAGTTGTGGGAGACCTCGAGTAGACATTCTCGCACGTACTGTCGTCTCCGTCAGTGAGTCTCGTAGAACCAGTCGTACCAGTTGCTTTATACGCTATGTCACCTGAGGGAAAACAAACACCATGTTTTGGGGCAAGCAGAATTCTGTGACATCATTCATTGACGTGAGAAAAAGATGTTTCAAGAAAGTGCTTTGATATAACACCGACTCTTGAAAAAAGGAAGAGACAGTCGTAATTTAGCTTTCATGGAATGCTACTTATATCACAAAGGACTAAGTCTACCATACGAGCTCAGATTGTCATATACGGTATGCTTTTGTTTGGTGTGTTATCATCACTCTCTTATTTCCTCCCTTCACCCTTTTGCTCTTTAAAGGGGGGGGGGGTTACACATGAAGGTTATCTCGCTTATTGGAGAGCCTAATTTTACCAAATTTAGCACATATAACAAGCACAGTAAGGAGTCTTAAAATCCGCAATCAAATTTGAGAAAAAAGTTTTTTTTCCAAGGATACGGTGGCCACATTGGATTTTGTTGACATGTCTTACGTTATGAACACTGCACTTATTTTTATGGAAATTGATAGTTTCGCTGGCAAGTTTGAAGACATTAGATCTAAAAGTTTGTCAGTTGATTTTTTCGTGAACGAATCAGAAGAGTTTTTAATGAATTTTTTCGTGAGGTAGTATTCAAGTTTGCAAAAAACCCGTTAAAATCCACACTCTGGACACCACCAACGCAAATCTGTTCCATATATAAAAAATTCAACAGATAAATATTTAGTATTGCATCATCTCTTCATTCTGTGGGAATTTCATGAAGATTGGATGAAAAATGGTGGAGTTATTCAAAAAGGTATAGGAAGAACTCGCGTTTTGAGAAAACGGCCGATCAAGAAAAACAAAATATTGACTTTATGAGGAAATGGTGGTGACAAACATGCCCGGTATGGGAAGAAATAAGGCTTTTGGGGGTTCTTATGTGATGAAATATTTGTAGGAGAGGGGTCTAAGGAAGCTAAAAAAGCCTACAACTCAAATTCCATAATTTTGAGCCGAATCGGGGCTTAGTGGGTGTAGCC